TTTGTTTGTTTCCCCTGGGTTTTAATGGGAAAGGATTTCACTGGACATATTCCTCTTTGCCTATTTTACCAGGTGGCTTAAGCAAATAGAGGAATGGGTCTCTCCTTTTGAAGAATAGAACTTCGATACCGTGCTGGTGATGGTTTTGAGGTGGAACTGCTTCGACTTGTTCGTCACCTTGGCCTCCATCGCGGCTCGGCGCTTCGCAGCCATATGAACTTTTGGATGTCTGTAATCTGGATATATATATATATATAATATCAATACATATATATATATACAGACATATGTATATGTGTATATATATATACACATGTATATTATTAAAACATCCTGCGTCAGGAAGGAGGTTTATCCCAACCATAAGCGAGTAGCAGCTCAGCTTCTAGCAAGGGTCAAGGAGTTGACTCCCGATTCTTTTCAATCATCGTTCTTCTCAACCATTCTTTTGAAACAACCAGCCGCTTCCTCCGCTTTTTTGTGGTTGGGAAAGAAGGATCACGGATAAGATGTTTTTTTTAACCCTTATAAGGCTTTGTTATTTGACCCTTGTCAAAGTCACCCAGGTAGGTGAAAGGGAAGCAACTCCAGTTTCTGACCTTGACAACCCCCAGAAACCATCAAACTCATGACCCCAGTTTTAGCAAAGGATCAACCTGAGCCGCTAAACTGTGGTCTCCTCGAATTTTCCATGGTTTGCAGCAATTTCCCTATGTTTTTTTCCGTGTTTTTCACGTGCCTGGTTTACTTGCACTACAGCAGGGGATCCAGTGGTCATTATTTCGCCCTTTTCTGGGGGTTATCCAAAAAGAAGAAGAAGAAGCCAGAAACAAAGGTTGGCCTTTCTTTCCCTGAAGAAAACCAGGTGACTTCTCCGCTTCTTTTTCTTTTTGACTGGGGCAGCAGCCAAGACTAGGTCCCCCAGTAGTGCCCTTTTACCGGATCTTGTTTGGGCGGAGGGTTCCCCTACTAAAATAGACAAAGAAAGAAAAGACGGGTACCCTTATTCTAAGCTCTCTACTGGAGGACCCAGCCTATAAAGCATCCCACATTCAAATCAGGAGAACCTAGAAGAACATGGGCTTTTTGCATCCCGAATCCCGAGGTGGATCTGCTCCTCACCTTTGCCCTGGAGCCCACCAGCGAGGCTGGTCAACAAATAGTTGGTAACCCCAAAATGGCGCCAAGCCCTGGTAATTAAATGGAAAAAATGACCAGAAAACCTGTGGTCCATATCCTGGTGGTGAAACAATGACGAAAACCTGTGGTCCCCAAACAATGACGAAAACCTGTGGTCCATGTCCTGGTGGTTTCATTTTGACCCATTTTCCTTTGATGCTTCTTGTTTACTGAACCTTGAAGCAAACCAAAGGTTCTGAGAGAATGATCTGGCCGGTGCCGCGAATTGGGCCCAGCGAGGTGGGGGCCCTGGGCGCCGCGCGGATGCTGCGCCTCATCCGCGTGGCGAAGATCATCCGCGCCCCGGCGAAGCGTCGAGCGGCGAAGCGTCGGGGCGGACGCTGGGGGCATCCGCTGAGGGCGTGGGGCGTGTTTTGCTGGGCGCGTGGGGCGTCTTTGGTGGGGGGCGTGGGTATGTTGATGGCGATTTTGGTTGGCCTTCCGGATCTTTGGACTTTGACTTTTTGGTTGAAGCAGGTGGGATGTTCCATTGGTCCATGCTTGCAAACACTTGTTCATCTGTTGCAGAAGGGTCGTTAGAGCAAGCAAGTTTAAAATAGGGATTTGGAGTCCCACGATTGTGGGCAAAAAGAAGGACATCCTGAAGTGAACATACCGCTGAACTTGTGTGTTTTGAGGGTTGGCTCCTTAATCCAGAGGCGAATAATATTTGTGGCACCTAACCGGTCAACCTCGGAAAGGCTCCCAGCGTTTGTTTCCTTGTGCCGGTACCGTTCAACTGGATCCGGCATCAACTTCGAAGTGGGAAACCAATGGATCCCTTGACACGAAACGAACAACTCCCTAATACAAACATGGAACGCGCAACAAAAAAAAACACCAAAGGAGATTCCCATAAGCCATAGATTTTCTGGACACCATGTCAATGGTGGAGTAAGGGGAATCAGTTCGGGGTTGCAACTCATTCCCTCGAACCAAGTTAAAAGTAAATCCCCCAGTGCTATCAAGTCGGTGTCCTTTGGTTTCAACCTCCTTGGAAACCGTGGAACAGCCATGCCCGCTCATGGTTGACTCTCTTCCATTGTGAGTCTCCCTTTCTATGCAAAAGATGAACCAGACCGCAGAGTTGATCGTTGACTTCAAACGGAACCCTGCCCTTGCTTTCAACAAGAACGCACAGATTCACGCAGACCCCCCTAAAGACCTTTGTTTCGCACATACCCTGCTTGTGGGCCCTCCTTTTTACCTTCATGTGAGCTTGCACAAAAATCACAGTGGCCATTTTAGGAGGTCCGTTTACATTGGAATACTACTGGCCAGTCGGCTAGCTGCCCCACACCTTCAACCAACAAACCCAACGGGCGGAGGCGGGCGGTGCTGCGCCGGTCGCTAGGTGTGGTTCGGTACCTCCGGAACGTGCGGGCCATGATCTTCACGCTGCTGCACACCTTGTCCTCCTTGGGCTGGAGCCTGGCGCCTTTCCTCGAGTGTGTGTGTGTAAGGGGTGGTCTCGCTTTGTCTGGAAGGGTTTTTTGGTTGGATCGCAAACGAGCAGGATATGGATGGCGTCTTTTCTGGATACACACTTCTGAGAGGAGCAAGATGGATGTTTCCAATCACCAGCCATGAAACCGAATCGGAGAAGCCCCATATTTAGTAGGTATCGCATTGGCCAAGATGCCTGGATCGCGGGGTTCCCATGGTTTCGAAAAAGCTGGTGGAAGAGAAAAAGAACCTCGACCGGGACTTTGGGCATCTCTCAGAGGGACAAAGCTTGGGCCCTCCCCCTCTTCAAAAACATGCCTCTTTGCCTCTTCAAAAACACCTCTCTCCCCCAAGGCCCCGCCTCCCCCTCCCCGGAAGGTTTCGGTGTCGATGCGTAGGGCCAAAGGATTGGCGGTTTGAACCGTTGCCTTCTTTGGTTGTGAATGTCAGGCGGGCCTTTGGTGGCTGATGTTTGAAGGGTGCTAAATTTCTTCGTAACCACTGCGCTGCCTTTCCATTGAACTATGCGTTGAGGTAGACGACCCCCAAGCAGACTTGATCTAATTTGGGTTTCCCTTTGAAAGAAACAAGAAGGGCTTCCCCCCCAAACCATAGCCTCAAGAAAGCAGACTCAACACCCCCCAGATAAAAACAAAACAAACAACATTTGCAGGCCAAATCAATGGCTTTTGCAGTCCCTGGGGTCTGCTCAGAACCTGCTTTTTCGCTTCAAGGTGGAAGCATCTTCTCGGTATGCGTCAATATTAAACCATCAGCGGGTACCTATTCTTGACCCACAGCCATCTGAGCACATAGCTTGTTGGTGTACCCTGGCCAAGATCAAAAAACACCTGGGGATCCGATGATCCGAAGTGACTGCCTCGTAGCTCGGGGTATTTCTGCCTAGGCTCTGATGGCTATGATCATGTTCTTGTTTGCAGTGGCCATCACAGAGGCAGTCACCGCCCACTTGCTGCAGCAGGGCCCCTCCGCAGAGACGGGTCGAACCTGAAGGGAGGCGCTTAGTTCGCGGGGGGCTTGAGGACCATTACAATTTATGTATTGTCCGTTTTCGCCGGGGGGGAGTACATTCATTTGGAAGGCTGAAGCAAAGAGCAACCGGACATGAAGGGAGGGGGGGGGGGGGGCTGAGTCTCATTATTATTTAAATCTTGCCGGGAAGGGGGGGGGTGCTACTGGGATCATTGTACGAGGTGACTGTTACAGCATCCACTACGCCGTACACCCTTATGCCTACTACTTTCAGCCCTTGACTGTCCTGTTCAATCAACTTTTGCCTCCAACATATACAAACAAATTCAGGTTGCGTGATGGCACTGCCAACAGAAATTCAATGCCTACAAGCTTGGAAATGGAGGCCGCAGAGCACGACAAACGAGACGGAGAAGATGAAGAAGACAAATTCAAACAAGAAGAGCAATACTGGCTGGTAAAGCTAGATGATAAACACTGGCAGGAGGAGTACGGCATGTGCTGCCAAGCTTCTTGCTGCCCTTGCTCCAGCTTCTCCCCCCACTACCCACCCCAACCTGCAGGAGAGGAACTGTGATAGTCTGCACATGTCTGCAGCAGGAAGTTTGGAGGTGGCGCGGCCCAAAGCGCTCTTGAGCGGCAGTTGAAGACTGAGGCACTTCTAATATGGAACCAGAACTTGTTGACACCCCGTGCCCGCTTTTGGTTGATGTGTGAAGCCCCGCAAAACCTGAAAATGGTATCGGCAGTCGAGTCTTGGAGCACTCTAGTGGCCAGGCATTTTGAATAAAAGGTTTACGCTTGGCGACTGCCTTGTCTTTCTTTTGCCAATGCACTTCGCCTAGATGCTGATGGAGTTGCTTGTAAACATGCGTTAGCCAGGTTGTGCCGATGTGCTAAATCAGTAGTGGTTTGTTCCCGAACCATGCCCTTTGATCATCAGCATGTATGGATGCCATGATGCTTGTTGAAAGTGGCTAAACTTTCTGCTCACAATGTAGACAGACAGATACTTCATCAGCTTTCTGAGGACGCAGACTGGACTTCTCAAATATGTGAACTGGTAGCAGGTGTCTGGCTTTTGCAAGCAATCAGCGGCCTATGAGTGCTGGTCGATTGCGCAAGTCCCGCGAGCTTCTCACGTCAAACTTCTTTTGCCGACGTGTGGAGGCTGAGTTTGGGCAGCCTCCCGTTTTCTCTCGTGCCACTTATCTGCTTTTTGTGCATGCCATGTGCATGCCCAGATGCCCGGTCACTTCCTTTGTCCCCTTCGGCGGGGTTTCACTAAAGCCGACGAGTTACAAATAGAAGTGGTGCCCCTTTTGCCCCATGACCACTGGTCAAGCAAATTTGTTTTTGTGGCGCACATTTTTGAGTTCGGCTTCGGATTCCACCGGTTTTCCCATACCCTTGGCAGTCTGTTGGCACCCTGCCGTCGCCTCAAAGTCGTGCCTGCCCGGTTTGGCTGAACCAACGCCGACTTTGGGACCTTCCCAGGGGCCCATGACTTCCAGTCGTTTTCCGCCGAGGGGCCGGCAGCGCCGCGGTCTTGGTGAAGTATTGGGGTACCATCGGGAGCTCCTTGGACGAATTTCTCAGCTGAAAGGTTTCCTTGGTTGTTTTTGAATACCGACCAAAAGGGGTCCGAAATCGATTTTCAGAAGCTTCGAACTGGGGCTTTCTTTGTCTCCAAAGCTGGAAGCTTGGGGGGGTTCTGCCCAAAGCTTCTGCGCTTTGTCAGGGTTCCGGAGATTCGGTTCCAGCAGGTTCCGGGTGGTTGTTGGGAGTTACCTGGGCTGATGGCGTTTGTCAAAGATCGGACAGCGCCCTGCCGAGAGCTACGCGAAGCCTGGGTGCAGTTCGCTCACATTGGCTTTGTCTGTGCGGTTGAAAGGAAAACCCGGGGGCGGAACCGCCCATTTTGAGAGACCCCGCAATTGCGGGGTCTTAAAAAAAGGTTTTTTTTTTTTTTTTTTTTTTTTTCCGATGTACCACGTGGGCGCTATTTGTCTCTGGCATGCTCTGCTTAAGCCGAGCATGGCAGACGAGTTGAAAAGAGCGAAAACCGTTTTGTGATATCGCGCGATTTGCTTGTCAGCAAACCCATTGCTTTGTAGGCTGGGCTGCGTTGGTTGTGCGCGAAACTTGGCAATTTCCATGTGCTTCCAGCCAAAGCTGTTTTGAAAAGAGGCCAAAGGACGACTTTTGCTGCCACTGGCGTGATCGAAATCCTATGCCAGTGTTTCAAGGTAACTCAGCCTTGAAAGCCGTAATTTTGAGGCTCCAACTCCTACTTTGGCCATGAGCCACCAAACTTGTTGGCAAATTCTGGTCCCACGGCAAGGGGACCGGACGGAAGCCCCTCCCCCCCCCCCCCGCTCTTTCTGGTACACCAAAAAAAACGCGCCACAAACATTCAGGAACGCGCTTGCTCGCTTGCGCGGGGGTTTGTCTCGGGGGGTGGGAGGCTCCATGTACACGCTGCTGCTGTCCATCACGGGGGGCATCAACTGGGAGGAGGCCGCGGCGGCCTTGGAGACGCTGCACCTCGTCTACCTGCAGCTCTTCGCGCCTCGGACCCTCGCGGACGGTCGGAGAATTCGTGGCGGATGGGGCGGGTGGGGCGGCTGGTGGCTCACGCGCGCGCGGCGGTTTGGCTCAAACGGTTCCGGTGGCCGCGCTCCCAAGAAAACACTTGCTCCGCGAAAACGCGCTGCCCGGAAATGGGGACTTCTTGACACATGGCGGGTTTGATTGCAGTTGAGGAAGGTGATCTTTGGGATGCCGACGTGGGTTCCAGGTGGGCAGTTGCGTTGCCTTGCGTATCATTCAGACCCAGGGTTCAGAAACCTGATCGGTGCGTCTCCCTTCCACGGAGTTCAACATGACTCCCCAAAATCGAGGTGGGGAGGATCTGGTAGTTCGCCCTACTGAGCCCGCGGTCGGGGTGAGAGAGGGCAAGCCGGTATTGCGATCCCAGCAAGGCGACTTCGGGCAAAGATCGGTTTTGATCCATGAGGGTGTTCCCAAAAGTAGGTGCCCCAAAAAATGGCAACAGTTAACTTTTGGCTTACCTTTCAGGGTGCGGATCCGATTCGGGAAACTCTGTGTCACAGGGCAAGGCTACACAGAGTTGGGGGCGCAGAAAGGGTCAGAGTTTACTTCCGCCAATTCGGAAGCATGTTTGCTATTTTAAGCCTGCCCGCAGCCCAGGGGTCGTTGCAACTTTCCAACTGCAACTTGATGTTTGAGCGAGGGGTCAAGTGACCACTTGGATGTGTGGCCGAGTGTGCGCTTGCGAGGGGTGGAGTGCACAGTTGATGCGTTGATGGCGCAGCTCCCTTTACATATAAGTAGTCATCTCCTTTACTCACCTATCTCAAGGAAGTTGTGCCATCTACTTTCGCGCTGGTGTATGTTGGCATCCAGGGCACATGAAAGGAGACATCTCAGCACACTGAGTGAATTCGCGCTGTTGCAGCGACGTGCAAACAGACACGCTTGCGGCTGTTGCCTGGTGACTCCCTTTTTGTAATTGCCCCTCCCCCATCTCACAAACGTGGTTGACAATGGAGTGAGTGTCATGGTGTTGGGCTGGAATTTGAATCTGATGGGATTAGAAAGTAGCTACGAGAGGTGACCCAGCCGGGACTTGCAGACGAGACCCCGCAGAAGCGAATATCCATGCAGCGCTGCGAGAGTTACACATGGGAGGCCATGTAAGAGTTCCCGAAGCACGGGGGGTTCGGCGTCGGCTAAAACCCCACGCCTGGCACGGCAAAAATGAGGTGCGCGTTGCAATTCCATGTGCCCCGGCGCTCCGTGAAGCGTTGCGATAGCGTCGGTTGCCCCGTGTACGCACGGAACTGTACCCCCCCCCCCCCCGCCTGCTCAGCGCTGCACGCACGCTTGGCAAATGATAAGCACACCTGCTCAAGCGCACCGGCTCAGCACTGTGCTCAGGCCAGCAAAATGGCACTTAGGTGCACCAGCTCCGCACTGCGCACGCGCCAGCCAAATATTAAGCGCACCTGCTCAACGCAACCCTTCAGCACAGCGAAGCGCACCCGCTCGGCACTGCACACACGCCAGCCAAATGAGACGAACACCTGCAGATTTTTTGCGCGTAAAGCCGCCCCGACTGCAATGCTTGGGGCAAAAAGCACGGTCCTCAGTTTCTGACCCGACGGTGAACCTGCCGTGCTGTGCGTAACATCTGTTTCACTACTTATTTGTTTGTTTGCTGAGACAACATCAGATTGGCGAAATCGAACAAATAACAACAGACATAGAGCCGAAGCAGCGATTAGATGTGGAGTTGCTCAAATTAGGAACCGACTCGTCAACTAGTTGGTTTCTTTTTTGGTTTCCCTTGAAATACCAACCAACAGAGGGTCCCCAATTTTGAGGAAAACATCGTCCGAGGTTCTGTATATTTGTTTCATGGTCTTCGCCATGATGAACGCCCCGGACTCAGATCTGCTCCAGACGCGCTCTTTCGGAAGATCCGGGACAATTGGCAACTGTGCTTAGGATTCCCTTGGTCCGGGAAGAAGCGCCACTTGCACGTGGGGCTTGATGTGTGTGGCCGCCGTAGTGCGTGTATGCGCAGGTCGTGACCGGGTTCTTCTGTGAGCACGCGTTCGAGATGGCGCGCAGCGAGAAGGATTCCTTGATCCAGGCCCTTTGGCCGACGCATTGCCTTTTCGCTTCGCTCGGCCAAGTCGCTTGGTTGGGGACGGGTGGGCCGTTGGTTATGCCCATTACGTGGCAGCGTGGTCAGGGCCAGGGGTGTTTCCCGCAAAGTGAAGGAGCCCCTCTATTTAATCCAGCAGTTCCAATCTGGGTGAACATCAGATCGGCCAGTTCTTGGCGTTACTCTCCTAAAGGTGTTACCGGAAGGCAACCAACTTTTTTGCCCAGTCAGCAATACAGGTGCTTTGAATGTAAGCTTATTTTGAACTCATTCATCTCAAGGGTTTTGGTGGGAAATTAAACAGGTGTCTCTCCTGTCAATGAAAACATGAACACGCTGCCAAGGCAGCTTGGCATCTTCTGCATGCTTGTGCCTTTGGGTAGAATTTGGGCCCTCCCAATATTTTTCCACGCCGGAAGGGCATTTAGGCCGTCCTACCAACATTTTGTTTCATGTTTGAGCAGGTAGGGTCCTGTTTGGCAAAGGCAATTTGAGCCGTGGATTGCCTTCCGGAGCAAGCGCCAGGAGCAGTTGCGACAGAAGCACCTCTACGTGAAACACTTTAGGCGGGCTCAATGTTGGCCATGGTCTCGTGGATCCTGTTCTTTTCGTCAAAAGGATATATACATATATATATATATATATTATTGTGGTGCAGGGCGTGCGCATAGAGGACATGTAGACCCGCTTTAGTTGAGGTTCCAACAGCTTTGGTCGTTTCCAGTCCCTTCCCTCGTCCAAGACGCATGACACCCAGCCATCCGCTTTGAAGCTGCGGATTGAGCCTCGTTGCCTTGCCTTTCTCTCGAGGACCCGGAGGCTGTTTCGGCGCAGTAAAGAGAGCCCCGAAGGTCGAACCAGCGGTCGCAGGCGTATACAACAGGCGGTTGGCAGGCGGACCCGCCGCGAAACTCCCGCGGACTCGAAACCGCGACGCCGACGGAGGCAGCTCTTCTCCGAGGGGGACGCGGATGGGAGCGGCACCATCAGCTTCGGGGCAGCTCGGCGGGGTGCTTCAGCGAGTTCGAGGGAAGATTTTTCGGAAGGTTGGGACCCTGGAAAAGAACAGGGCAAGGATCCTGGTGTAAAGGTTGGTGCACGAATCATCGCAACAAAAAGGGGAGGCTCTTTTTGGGACCTTTTTGTGTCGGTGCCACCACAGGAGCCACCTCAGGCGGATACCAAACAGGGCCCCAATTTGGATATACCACATGTGGGTTGAATGCCATCTATGCGCTCAGGAATTCGAGCGCTTCGTGGAAGACGAGCACCTGCAGGCGCTCGCTCGTCTGAGTTCTTTGGTTCGGTTCCCTATATTTCCCTTGTGTGGTTGAAAACATCCGCTTTTCAGGCTAACATAAAGTGACTTTCCCTCGCGTGGGGTGGATCAGGCGGTGGAAATGGGGTTGCTGGAGATCGATTTCTCAATCGGAGCTCACCTATCCGGGAGAAAGGAGCTCACCAGATAGATTCGGAGATGTCCGTTTGGACCCAACCTTCTCCAGATTCCAAGGTTCCAACTCAGTCTAAAACATTCCGACGCCCATACTAAACTGGGATCTGGGAGGTAGGCTGTTATACAGCCAGTGAGTTGGGTGGAAAATCATCTCACCGGGAACCCAAGTGGCCTTGGCCATGAAGGCGGCCGGTCTGAATCCTTCGGTTTGCTTGTGGCTTATGCCCGGCTTGACTCGCATGGCGCGAGAGCTCAGAGGCCTACCTGGCCCACCTGAACGTCGACCCGGAAAACGCCTGGCAGGCACGGGGCTCCAGCCGGACCATCTCGGAGTGGTCCCGTTTTTTCGAGGCGAAGGGTTCCCTTTTCAGGTTGGTTTACCGGGAACCAAGAGGGGAACCACCATATTTGGGGGGTTCCCCGATTTATTTTGACACACCCGTTCAAGGGAAACCAAAGGGAAACCACGTGGTCTAGAAAAACTTACTTATGAAGGTTCCTTCTGTATTTTGACACCTTCCAGCCGGGGGTTGCTTTCCCTATTGAAATGGCCCCTTTGCTTGCCGAACCAATCCGAAACCGATCAAGATTTGCCAACCTGTCGGCAAGAAAGAGGTTAGTTATGGGAATCCCCGGATGAATCAACCCGTCCTAGCACCAGGGGGGTGTGGGGGGTGTCCCCTCCACGAGTGATGATTCCTCACCAAAAGCGGACACCCCCGTTGCTGATGCCCTCCGCTTGGCGCCAGATCTTCCGCCTCATCGACTGCAACAAGGAGACGGGGAGTCAGCACGCTGACGCATGTCCCGCACCAAGGTTGGGCTCCCATGCTTTTCCCCTGTTTTGTTGGGGTGATGCTCCAAGAATGTCAGATCCCATGGCATCTTTGAATGTTTGGTTAGTTTCTTGACTCATCTGGTTCCATCTTGCCAGAAAAATTGTCCTCAAGGCCCTGGCTGACGGCTACATCAAGGCTCAGGCCGAAGCCACTACTCAATTGCCTATAGCTGCTGCTTGTGCTGCTCACGGACTGCTTCGTTCTCAGCTCCTTCCAGGAAGACGAGTTAGTGAACCGCGAAACGCCACTCTGTGCTGGAGACAACACGCAGGTTGACCAAGCCCGCTATGAATTCGAATTCTTTAGGCCCGAAACATCAAAAGCCAACTGGGGCAGGAGGGCATCTTGTTGCTGCAGCACAAAAGAAGGCAGAGATTGAAGCTTTGGACCCTGGCAACCGCCATGAGACGCCAACCATGGCATCCATTGCCGGCTCGATGTTCAACATGCACACGTTTCGCCAAACCCAAGGTCTGATTGAAATTGGGACAGTCCAACCGGAAACTTCCAAGCCGAAGTCATGCCCTTCCGAGGTCTTGGCCTCCCTTTTGGAAACCGATGGGAAACCCTGGGATTAATCGATGTTCGCTCCCCTAAAAATATAATGTCTGACGGAACGTTTGCTGGGCGTGCGAGAATGAGTTCGAGCTCTTGGAAATGAACTGGAAGGGGATCCCCTAGGTACCCTTCCAACTTGTTCCCCTTCCCAGCAAGAAAAGGACAGGAAGACTCCCTTTTCTTGTAACGGGAAGCCAAATGTCGAGCAAACAAGCGGACTTACTCTTGTTTAGAAACAGCTGGCACTGGTTTACACGGTTTTATTCCATTTGCTAGGGCAACCCATACCCCTTGGACCCCATCTTCCCCAAAAGCGAAAGCTGATCGACAGGACGGGGAGGTGAGCATCGACGAGTTCACCACGGGGCTGCTGACGATGAAGGGCCCGGCCAAGGCGTTAGACCTGAAGAGCATCGCCGCCCGGCCGAAAACAACGGCCGGCGGGGTTGGAGTGGTAGGTCTGGGTGAATTACAACGACCTCACACGACCGAATTCACCCCAAGTGGTGGGTTTATGTGGGGAATAGCCCCCCATTTGCCCGGGCTCCGTTTTGGGTACCTATGTTTGACTCACAGCCAGAGTGGTAGGTGAGCCGCTGGCTCAAAACCTAGATGAAGGGTAAGGGGCAGCGCGGATATCCGCCTTGATTCTTGAAGAATTCCGGGCTTGCGGCCATTTTACCGGGTTTTGAGCAAGTGACTTATTCCCTTCCCCGGGCTTTGGTAGGTACAGGAGGAAATTTGTTGGTTTCCTGCTGAGGTAACAGGGATCCATTGGGTTTTGAGCAAGTGACTCAGGTGTCCTTTTTGGTTTGGCCGAAGAAAAAAAGGCGAGTCCTGGCAGAGCTGGCCCAAAGGGACACCTTTGGTTGGAGGTGAGAGCAGCTCCCAAAACCCCCATGGGCCGTTTTAGTAGGCTCTGCTACCTGGTTTAGCAAGGGCTGTAGTATGGCCTGAAAGACCTTTTCACCTTTTGCGACCTTAGTAACCGAAAGTCAATGGGTGTTGTGAATGGTGCCAACTGTTCAGCTCGGTTGAAAGGAAAACCAGAAGGAGAACGACTTTTTGTTTTGGTCCATCTATTGCTTGTGGGTGTGTGGGGGGGGGTCTTTTCAGTGCATTTTGGGGGCTTTCGCTCTCCCTTGTCGATTGCTATGAAAGGCTTGTGGTGTTTTTCAATGCCGAGGAGAGTCCCGTTTTGCTGAACCACAAGCTACAGGTCTACTGCTGTTGATTGCTATTTGTTGCCTTGCTTGACTGTCGGCATCTCACATGTCACTTCAGAATGATGACGGGTCAACGTTTTGCGAAGGTGCTTGTTGGGCTTGTAAAGGGTCTTTCAACACCGTGCCCTGAGCTGTTAGTTCGGCTCTGAAACTGATCCGCTTCGTGTGTGTGGCAGGGGACAGAAAAAAATCTATCCAGCTGGCAGAAGGCATGGGCATCCCAGGCTCAGGGTGGACCAAGAGCACCTCCCAGATCTAGAAGGTGCGGTGCAGCGAAGAGAATCCTCGGAAGCCAACTTGCAGTGTCACCGGCCGGTGGGTCTGCTGAGGACTACAACATGAACAAGGAGTCCAAGAGGATGCAGCGGCGCATGCAGCCTCCTGTCCGCAGGGCGTTTGTTGGATCTCGGCGGGTCGTGTCATCAAAAACACACTCCCCCCCCAAACCATTTCAAGAGGTAGTGATCCTGTGTTATCAGTTGGAACTCTTTGTTGGACAGTGTTTCCATGTACATGTCCACCCAAACATCAAAGCATACGAACACGGGCCTCGCTAGGAAAGCGCCTCTCGTCAGGGGAACCCTTCGCTGGGAAACCCTTCGCTGGTCTCTGCTGGGACCCTGCACGGCCCGAGCTTCCCCTTGGCGTCCAATTCTTCTGGTCCCATCCTGTGGCGAAATGTGAGCGGCAGACAAAATCGTTGGTTGGTAGTCGATGAGCTAGGGACGCCGCATTATCCGGTTGTTGACATTCTTGGCTTTCCTGCAACTCCAAAAAAGGGTTCTAGGAAGGAGCCTGCACAGGGGGTTGCAAACAGCCACTGAGTTTGTTTTGCCTCGCGCGCCGGAACTATGCGAGGAGTTTGTTCATGGCTTGTGCCCTACCACGTCTTGTCCAAAGGGTCTCCCAATAAACGACATAGGTGTTTCTTTTTTTAGGCCCCCTCCAAAAAATATTGGCTTTCCTTCAACTTTCCTGTAAGAACCAAGCAACGAGAAGCAGTCTCAAAAAGCAGACACCCCCAAATCATGGCCACACAAAGCATACCATGCCGAGGGCGATTGGAACAAATTACATTCCCGCCGCCAGGCGAATTCGTAGCGGTGTCCCACCGATCCAGTTGATGAATCCGTTCATTATGGTCAGGGAGTGAAGGGTCCATTGTCCATTGTTCAAGATCAACCCTAGCACTGGTAAATTGAGCTTGTGTGTTCGTTCGTGTGGTTGATTGATTGGTTGCTTGGATTGGTTGCTTGGATTGGTTGCTTGGATTGGTTGCTTGGATTGGATTGGGCTGGGTTGGTTTGGATGTCTTTTTCCTGATTTGTGTTTCTGTTTGTGTCTGTCTCTGTCTCTTTCTCCCTCTCCATCTCTCGCTGTCTCTGTCTCCGTTTGTCTGTTTGTCAGTTTTTCGTTTGTCTGTTTGTTTACTCGTTTATCCTTGTGTTTTGCGCCGTTGCTTTATTTCCTAGGTACATCGACGCCCAGCTGAAGGAGATCCAGTCGCTGCTGACCGCGCGCGTGGCGAGCTAACCGACCGCGCGCGCGGCTCCGGCGTTTGGATCCGTAGGAACCCCTGTCTCAGTGCGGTTTCGGCGGCTAGTCAGCTAAGGGAAATTTTGTATTACACCCTGGGATTACACCCTCGAACCAACTTGGGTCATTTCCCAGTAGGTGTAATCCCAGGCTGTAATACAAAAACCCCTGGATTGGCTAGGTTGTGTCAGGTCACTTTGTTTATTTATTGTGTTGTTCGTTCATCACTTCACCCGCTTGTGTGCTGTGGCGACTTCTGCATGCCTTCCCACCGATCTCGTGTACCATAGGATGAAAGCGCCATGCGCGAGCGGGCGACGCTTGTATTTTGATCAGGAGGGTTAGGGTTGGGAAACACCCACTTCTGTGATGCTACCGGAAGGAAATTTATCAAAGATTCATTTCTTAGTTGGGGGGGGTCTTTGGTATCACAGAAGTGGGGACCAACCCCCGATTCCTGCCCTGAGGAGGATGTCAGGATTCTGGATGCTTCCCTCTGTAGGACGTCACCTTGCGTCAACGGCCTTTGCACTCGGCATAAGGGGCTAATTATTATAGCGGCTGGTTTTTGCTCATAGTTTACCCTTATGATCATGACTGCATCCGGTTTTGGAGGACTCAATAACCCCATTCCAATTGTTGAGTAGTTGGGCCCTTACGCATACTCGAGGTTATGGAGCGAATATACCACTTGCCAATAGTGGCATAGTGTACGTTGCCTCCATGTCCATGCTTATCTATCGGGATCCAAGATCTGCTGTGAATGATTCATATTTGAGCAACCCACCTTGATTTTGGTCAGGACCAAGTCTAACTGACAGATGCGTACTTCTTCTTGTTTTTTTGTTTTTCTTGTTTCTTTCTTCTTCCTCTCGTTCTTTTGTTCTTTCTTTCCTTTTGTTTTCTCCTTTATTTCATTCAGTCAGTCAGTCCAGTCCAGTCCAGTCCAGTCCAGTCCAGTCAGTCACTAACTCACGCACGCACGCACGCACTCACTTCATTCATTCACTCCCTTCCTCGCTTGCTCGCTTACTCATTCACTCACTCACTCACTTACTTACCTCGCCTCGCCTCGCCTCGCCTCACCTCACCTCACCTCACCTCACCTCACCTCACCTCACCTCACCTCACCTCACCTCACCTCACCTCACCTCACCTCACCTCACCTCACCTCACCTCACCTCACCTCACCTCACCTCACTCCACTCACTCCACTCACTCCGCTCACTCCGCTCACTCCACTCACTCCACTGCTCACTCCACTTTCTCCACTCAGTCCACTCATTCCACTCACTCCACTCACTCCACTCAGTCCACTCAGTCCACTTACTCCCGCTCCACTCACCACCGGCTTCGAGCCGGTGCACCCCCCGCCGCGACCCTTCCTGACTCGATTCGGATCGAGCAATTCTGGGGTGCCGAAAATACGACCTGTGCCACCCGTGCGTGGTTGGTTGAGGTGGTTGAAAAAGATTGGCTGACTCGGTTTCACGACCCTGGCAGCCAGGCCCTGCACTTCTCACGGCGGCCTCGTGGTTAAGACTTGGACAGAAGGGAAGTGGATAGACGGACAAAGGTCAGTAGCGGCCGTGTGGCCGCGCTTGTGCGGGTTTGACATGGGCGCTTGGCGGTGGCAGTTGCTTGTGCTGGTTTCATGCGGGCGATGCGCTACAAAGTCTTCTTCTTCTTTCTTTCTTCCTTCCTTTCTTCCTTCCCTCCTTTCGTTCTTTCTTTCTTTCTTTCTTTCTTTCTTTCTTTGCTTTTGTTTCATTCTTTCTTTTCGTATTGTCCGTATACATTGATATTTGTTTGAACTGTTTCTGTTTTCATTTCCTCGTTTCTTTCTCTCTTTATTTCCATGTATGTTATATATTTGTTTTGTTTATGTGTTGTGTTGTTTTCTTGTTTGTTTATTTGCTTAGCTGTTCAACACAAAGCAACATATTTATTCAAGGCACCCGACACACTTCCAGGGTCATTTTTGACTGTTGCTGGCAGCTATCTGTTGTGCTCGAACAGCGCGATGCTGCAACTGAATGGGAATCACCTGCAGTCAATTTGCATCCTAGATCTGAGTGATACTCAGCTAACTTGGAGCCTTTTCCATTGTGTTCCTTGAAGACCCCCCCCCCCCCCCGTTTTTGGGTCTATTCTGAAGTGAGTTGTTCTTGCGTCCGCACTCAGGAGTACGTTGGCGTGGAGCATGGTCAAATCCAGTGACTTTGTAGCAGTGGTTCTAGACAACTCAAGTCGATGCAGGAAATCGACGGCTGCTGCGTGCACAGACTCTGTCGGATATATGGGATGTATGAAAACGGCCTTAGTTCACGGAACCATGGTCAAGACCGCGCTTTTGCGTGTCAACATGACCATATCACTTGTGCACTTGGGGAACAAACAGCCGCCAGGGAAACAAAAACAAAAACAAAAAACAAGCAACCAGGGAACAAAAAACGACCGCACCACGGCTGGGTTTGGACGAGGGCCGGTCTCCTGACGCGTTAATGTAGGCCAGGGTGGGCGCCTGGCGCTCGGCCTTTTCCCGACTCAAGGGCAGGCGACCGCGAGCGAATGTAGGGGCTGACCAAATCGGGGGGGGTCTAGAAGAGGGTTCCATGCGTGAGTCACTTCTTGGGTTTGGACCAGTTTAGTGGCAACCAGAAAGTTTGGACCTTCTTTTGGCCAATTCACTCAGGAAGGGAGATGCCGAAGGCGCTTCTGAAGTCAGCTCATCCACAACCCAACAGCGCCTTCGAACACTGTGGATGGACAAATTCCGCTTCGCACCGGCTGGTGGCTGGTTGGTCCGATTTCCTGGTGCTTCATCCTTCCCAACTGGTGCGAAGCGGATTTCGTCCATCCACGGCATGAATGCCCGATGGGAATGACTGAAGTTAGTTTCCTGGTGCCCAAACTCCCATTCTATTGAGTTAAGTCCTTGTAGAGGTGGTGCCCGTTCCTGGGCAATAACGACCTCGCAACCCAGAGATTCGAACAGGGGCAGCCTGGGTCAGGAAGCCTAAATGGAGCACCCCACGTGCAGGGCTTTGTTTCAGACATGGCCGACATGGCCGGCTGGTGTGGTTTGATTTTTCCAGATGGTGTTTGTTTTTGGTTGCCCAGGAGGGGGCAATCTATGTGAGACGCGTATGGGCGGGCAGCTATTTCTTATGTTTCAGTTTGGAAGCCAAAGGGAAACCGTGTCCGCCTGGTGGCCACCTAGCCCATGTAGAAACTCGGTCGGTTGCACTCTGCTCGCAAAAAGAGAGTTCCATCGCGCATCCGAATGGATGTCATTTTTCTCGCGCGACTTCCGAAAGGAAAAAGAGGGCGCATAGGCACAGACCAAGGGCGTCCGTTTCACGTCCCCCCCCTCCCTCCTTCCCCCCCCTCGCCACAGACTGGGTAGTACCCCCAGTGGCATCCTCTGAATCCGTTTTGCAGGTGGGTTCTGCGCTAGAATAGTCAACCCCCCCAAAGCTCCCCCTTTTCTACCTGCGGGGTGGACTCTTAAGATCAATTTTCTGCAGCTGGTATGACATGGCTTGCGCAGATGGAGCTGCGATGCGGCCCTTGTGCAGTTACAACTTCCTTAGACGGTCATTGCGCAGTGGGCAGCGCAATGTTTGTTTTTCAGCGGCAGAATGGTGGAGATGGCTTTCATGTTCGTGGACTCTGCTTTATTGGTTGGATCCTTGGACTTCAACTTTTTGGGAAACAGAGGTTTTCCATTGGACCCACCAAAAGTTAAGCTTTTTGCAGAGGGATCAACTGCACGCAAATTTGGGATGATCAGATGTGAGCACTTCCCTTTTATGACAAGGTGAGGCGATTGACGATAGAGATGCGCAAGGCAATATGCTTCACACACGGGCCGCGATTTTCTTTGCATGACACAGAAGTCGCAGATACATTTGCATTGGACAACGTGACGTCTCCTTTGGTGTCATTGGGAAAGTTTATCAAAGCTAATTGGTCGTCGACATGCAAATGGGTAGGAGCTCTTCGATGGTGCATCAATATCAGTTTGCAACTGGGCCGTGGTTTTTGAGGCTCACCCTTTTCGTGTTTTTTTTTGGGGGGGGTCCCACAAGACAACCACCTCATTTGGGGTTCACCCTTTACCGCGGCAAATCAACCCAGCTTTGGATGTATAGGTGTTACTCTGGCAGACAAAGTACACGGCGATCCCTGGCTGACCTGGTTGTTTCGTAATCTATCAGGGCCATCCGTTAACGACACCTATGTTTGGATGTGTCGTTTTTGATCGTCCCCTCGATGTTGACTTCTTTCAAAGCAGACCAACAGGAAATCAGCCATATTTGGAGGGCCTCAACATATGAGACAAAGCCATCCGAAGTGCTGACAATGTTTCAGGACTCGATTCTCTTCCCGTCTGAAAATTCGACTCGCACTGAACGTGGGCTGGTTCTTTTTGGCTTTTGAAACCTTTCGGAGTGTTTCCTTGGGTTTTTGGGAGCCCGAGGCATGCACACCTGGTGGTTCAATCAACTACCAGGGCCATCTATTTTCCCAAAAAGGACACCTATGGGCATGCACCGTTTCAGCTTGTGCGGCCTCTTGAATCTGGACCCAAGCCGTGTGGTGCTTTGAGTTGGTACCCTTTCTGGGATGGCTTTGCGTTTTCCTTTCGGTTTTGGTTAGCAACCCATTCATTGCTTTTCCCGAAAGCATGGCGAAGGGTTCTTCCGCTGGGTTCACTTGAGTTGTCCTCATGAGAGTCATTACAAGGTGTCATTGCAAGGAATCATCATCATGAAAGTCATTGCAAGGAGTCATTGCAAGGAGTCATTGCAAGGAGTCATTGCAAGGAGTCATTGCAAGGAGTCATTGTAAGGAGTCATTGCAAGGAGTCATTGCAAGGAGTCATTGCAAGGAGTCATTGCAAGGAGTCATTGCAAGGAGTCATTGCAAGGAGTCATTGCAAGGAGTCATTGCAAGGAGCCATTGCAAGGAGTCATGGTAAGGTCATTGTAAGAGTCATTGTAGTGGAGTCATTGTAGCGTTGCAAAGGACAGCACGGAGTCATTGTAAGAGTCATTGCAAAGGATTGCAACCT